GCTCACCTTGCAGCGCGGGGATGGCTTTCCACACCGACACGGGGCCCTGGCTAGCAAACTGCCCCAGGGACACCTCCAGGAAGAAAATGGGGATCCCAGCTAGAGCCAACATCATCAAATAGGGGATGAGAAACGCACCTTGTGGGGGCGGGGGGGAGAGAAGAGAGAGCAACCTGAATCACCCCAAGATACGGGGACAACTTAGTCAAGACATTTTTCTAGTTTTTTTTTAAATTTTTCTGTTAAAATGTTTCAATTTGTTATCGAATCCCGGTGCCGACAGCCTCGGAAGGGGTGTAGGGGGGGAAGAAGGGTGTCAGCTTTCTACATTTCCAGCGTTTTCTACAGACAGGAAATCCTCATTATTGCTAAATGAGTCTTTAACACCTCCCACTTAGAAGTGCCTACGTGTAAAATGAAAAGAAAAAAAAAAGCTCACAATGTTAAAACAGTTCTTTAAAATTGCCTTTTTCCTCGCAGGAAAAGGCTGTCACGGGCTCCACAAAAGTGCTTTCCATGATCACAGCACCGCTGCCCTCAGCTGAGAGCCCTTTGGCAGAGGGAAGGGGTTTGCAGCTGCAGGGCTTTAACCCAGTAACAACCACGGGTTCTCCGTTTCAATATGAGCCTCTGGTAGGAGAACCCTGCAAATAAACTCCTTCTTCTTCTTGCCCTTGTAACCTGTAAAAGGCATAGCCCCTCTTCCAGCTTCTCCTCTACTCAGACCATCGACATTCACTCCATTTCAAACGATTCTTTTTCAATGTGATCGTGGAGAGATTTAAAACAATTCCGCCAAGGCTCAGGAAATAACGGGAAGTCTCGGCTCTGGATCCCGACCCTGCAGTCCCTGCTGTTTCCCCACGGCCCCGATCGCGGGTTCGGAGCCCGTGTGTGACCGAGGGAGGGCAGGGGGATCCCGAGCCCTGCCCTACGCTCATCCCGCCCCTCCGCTCCCCTCCCTCTCGGCCAGCGCCAATTGCAGGTCTTTGTTTAAGGAAAGCGCTCCCTTTTAAGGAAATCTCGTCTGTCAGGGCTTTCCTGCTTTCAGAGGTGACCACCAAAAA